TGGTCTAACACTGCCCCGATGATCACTGGTAAACGCATTACTTTATTCAGCAAAAACCAAGTGAATCTATGTTCTTTGATAATTCTTAAGTTTGTCTTTTAGTTTTAAGTCACATCAGTGGAGCACTGATGCATTCATTTTGCATTACTTTTTTTGAATTGATTGAAGATGATAGTTAATTTTGGTGTTCATCAACCTATCATATAGAGAAGTGTAGTTCTTAAATTTTTTGTTCGTATAATCTCTTATCTTTAATTAGTTAGTTAATAACAATAACAATAATGATAATAGTAAGGTAGACTGGTTGTTTTAAAAGTCATTCTCAGGAATTTCGCTAGTGTCTTTAAGATTCCCAGTATTATTGTGGTGTATGCCAGTGCTATATGCCCCAAATTTCATGCTAATTGTTACATTTATCATCAATATTGGGATACGGTTTGTACACTTCATTTCTTGACTATAATGGGAGCTATTTAAATCGATTAGAATAGTTCTTCTATGCATAAATAACTTTAACATTATCATTTTATATCAAAATGTGTAGTAGTTTAAAAGTATACAGTGGTAAACTCCAATCGACGCTTAGTCGATCACCTCGTATAGGTTTATGTGTTAGGATGGGAACCAAGGCAAACATGATGGTTTATGTTGCAAACCGATCATGATGACAGGATGAGTAAAAACTTGAGTCTTTTGTTTGTAATAAGACGAATGAAGTTCTTTTATGAAAAAATTGGCCTAGTTTTTGTCCATTACCTAGTTTTTTTTCCGATTGAGTTCAGTATTTTCGATTATTTTTTCTACAAACTAAATCCTTATTGTTTATTAGAATCAGTTGATCCTATCGAATATTACCGATTTTAAGATTGCTTTTTTGTTACGCTATTCCTTTTACGGTTGGAATATTTGTTTGTCTAGGAGTCATGGTCGAACTGAATCATGTTAAACTGTCATAATCATAGAAAGTGTAACAAGTTTGATTTTATGATTACTCTCTTGATCGTAACATTAAAGTCAATTGTAGTGCTGTAGATCTGGATTAGTTATCTCCCACAAACAAATGATAGAAATATCGTATAGAATTCCGAATGGATGTAGAAAAACCTAACCGGACACTTGAAGGTGCCTCAGTTTCAAGTTGCTATGCTTAACTGTAGCGTGCAAAGAAATGGATAAAGAAAAAAGTGACATCAAAATAGACAAGTATGTGAGAGCAGATGGAATCAATGAATGAAAGTTATTAAAAATGCCAAAACTTTCGGGATGAAAAGGATGTACACATCTGCACCACTGACCGATTTTGAGTTATATCATGAAGCATCTTCGACTTCTAATTCTAATATGATGTTGATTGTGTTATTCCGTCGTTGATTGAACCTAATTTATCTGTCTCCATTGGCGTGTCGGCTCCTATGCGGGTGCCTCGATATTGTCTGCATTCTTGCTGATGATATTAATTATAGATATTGGCTAGCAGCGGAATCCATGACGCGCGCTTCGTCCTATATGAGACTCGTCAGCTGGATGTACCTGTCTCCCAGTGAGTGATGTGGTACTCACCATGACTCGAACCCAGTGCGCATCGTTTCAAACGCCAGATCGTTATCCACTAAACCGCATTGTCATGATGGCCACTTGTGTGACGGGCATAGTTTGTGTGATGTTCCTTGTATTATCCTGACGTTGATTGGACCGAATTGATCAATCACCATTGGTATATAGGCCCCTGCACGGATACCTCGATATTGCCTTTTTTTCTGAAACTATAACGCGTCATCCGATCAGTAATCTTCATTGCTTCTTATGAAGTTTTCATTTCTTTGTTAAACCTTTTTTTATATCTCTTTTCACTTTCTGCACTGAGTTTATGTCTGTCTCAATGTATGGTCTTCTTATCAGGACACCTCAGTATAACAACTAGTTACATTTTGATTTTTGGTGACTACTGACAAACAGACTTTGGCAGCCTGCCTAAAATTGGGGCTACGAAAAGGTTTACATGATATATTAGATCAAATTACTCCTTTTGTACTTGTTTCAATTATTCAGTTGTCCACTTCTCATGAAATGTACTATCACGCATTCTCGAAATGTTTCCAACTTATCGTCACACAAGTTAACAACACAAGTGCAAAAAATATGATGGTAGTGGGCTCCAGTTCACAACAGTTCATCTTATAAGTATTGCAAGGATGGTTAGGGAAAACTGGAAATTTCTATGCTGTCTGAATAATCCCTCCACCTAACCTATAGGTGCTTTTCTATTCGTGTCCCCCCTCCCTCCTCGTGCAACAACATACTCGCAAACTAGACGATAACCTAAAAACAATTGATCGTTGTGTATTATTGCCTATCATACTGCTATTGTTAGCGCTAATTGACTGCGATGTTTATTTAATTTGAAAATACTGTACAAGGATTACATTTGTAAACATCACACTGAGAATTTTATACTGCATTCAAAACTGTTGTCTGGAATCATGTGATTATTGTTATTGTTGAAGTAAATGTCCGGATACATCAATTCCTTGCGGGTATTTATTAGTTAGGTGTAACTACCTCTAAGGTTTTATAAAGTATTTTGTAAACGTGCTTTACTCCTACAAATAGTAACGATCATTCTGTTAGCTGTACACTTGTGAATATATAGTAAAAAGGATAGAATATTACAGAGTAATTTACTGTCAAAAGCTAATATAGTTGCATAACAAAATAAAAGTTACGTAACATCTATAGGGGTTTGTAATGGGTCAATGAACACAATGATTGCGAAGTGAAAAAAAAATAGTTGTCAGTGTTAATCAGTGCTTCATTTCTAATTTTCTTCAATGTCTTGGACAGTTGGCGCTTGGTTACTTCGGCAGGATCTTTCTGAATTGTCTGTTTTGGAAATTTGTTCTCGTCTCATAGGATGAGTGAAAGCTTACCTATGTGATGTAATTTGTTCAGAAGCACTATTTCATCAAGGCGTATCATGACTAAGTTTCCATTTTTCTGAAGATTCCCTAGCTGATTCGAAGTTTCTTTGACAATGTGTCGAGTACTGGATTTTCTTTTTGATATACATCCAGCAATTTATAAAAGTTGATTTTAAATTGTTAAGGTCACTAGATGAGATCGGAACTAGGTCTTCCGTTTTATGATTCCACTTCTTAAACTTGAAGAATAGCTATTCCAACGAGCATTTTGGCTAAAATAAACAGAAATAAAAGTGATCATCGACAGTTATAAATGCACTACCGAAATTCATGAGTAATCAGTATCATGTTGAAATTGTTAATAGCGGATCTAAATCTAATTATCGAGATAGCTCAACACACAGCTCAACTGACATTTTGCCTCTCAAAATTCTACCGTTTAATGTCTTGGCTAGATATCTGTCTGTTGAGCTATCTCGATAATTAGGTTTAGATCCGCTATTAACAATTTCAACATGATACTGATTACTCATGAATTTCGGTAGTGCATTTATAACTGTCGATGGTCACTTTTATTTCTGTTTATTTTAGCCAAAATGCTCGTTGGAATAGCTATTCCTCAAGCCCTGCTTTTTGGAAAGTCTGTTTTGCGGGTTCTTTTGTCGTTCTCGTGTTTTTGAAAGCAGTAAACTCTCCACAATCTTAATTTTGCAAATTCGTCTACACTACACATTATTAAGATGTGTTTGTATATGAAAGTATACGATTCCTTTTATATTAACGTAAGGATGGAACTTAGCTATTGTAAATCTAGCTTCAATCTTTGAAAGTCGTTTGTGTTTATTGATAGGTTTTCAAACAGGAAAGCCTTGAGTATCACTAATGATTGAGTTGAACTCTGATAATGTGGTAGTGTTTAATTCTATGTCAGTTTGTTTGTTAGATATTTTACACAGTGAAATACTATTATTTAGACATGTATGTGTGATATTTTAGCACAGCATGATGCGTTTTCTGTATTTCAATGTTTCAATCATTTCGTCGAATCGTGGAGCTTCAAAAGTTAAATCCACCTGAAAAGGCTGAAAAGACATTGACGTTCAATTACTTTGTGTTTATCTTTGACTATGTCTGGGTAACTTTCTATCAGGAGTTCTTTGAGATAGTTTCATCATTAATTTTTTTAAAAACTTATTAGTCGACATGGAAAAACTGTAAACATGACACAATTACAGTCAAGAACTAATTGTAGTTATACAAACGTTAAATGCAGTCTCCTCAATTTACTTAACTGATGAAAAGTAATCGAATGATTATAGTTGATAAAAACTAAATCACTGATTCCGACGCCTCAGCTAAACAGGTATAAGAAGATAGGTTAACTAACAATAAAGGTATTTATTCTGCATTGTGCGAAATCACTAATTTTCTATATAGACAATATGAAACGAAGTGAACTTAAGGTTAGTTACCAGTCAATTTCCTTTAGCCCTTAATTTTTTTCAGTTCGATTTTTGACTTCCGCCTTGTACCACAATATGCAAAGTAAAACTAGGAGTCCTGAGTACTTTTCAGAAAATTGGACACTTCTTTCTATTTTTACTTTTCATTCAGGTCGATGAAGATATACTGTAGCGTTTTGTTTTGTTTCCTAGTTGTTTTTTCCAAATAAAGTATTACGTAAATATTGTCGTGTATATTTTAGTACACACACGGTAGATAGTTATATGTTAAGTAGGCTTGTTAATAATCCGCTTTTATTTGAGGAGAATTATTGAACATATGTATGAAGATAACTAAACAGTGATTGCTAGATAATTGACATGGAAGTTTCGAATCCTTTCGTATTGCTTATTCACCCATAATTTGTGTTGACTGGATTGTTTGAAAATAACTATTGTAGCACTAGAAGGGATTATCGATCCATAAATAAATCATGATAAATCTAATGCTTTTTAGATAGTTACAAAAGAAGGTGAAAGAATGTCGATTGAAACAGGATGGCTGAAAAATATGATTAACTTTTTATGAAACTTATTTATGATAAGAAAAAAGTACATTCTTTTGTTTTTTAATTTTCAGTGCTTCATGCCAAATCGACTGCTGAATTCCATTATTTCATTCTGTTCGTATACTGGTCATGCTCGCTCTGTGGTCGTACTCAGTATATGCTTGCATATGTGTGTACACAAGTTTTAGTTCTAGTATTTGTAACTCTCTATCCAGCCTTTATTTCTAAGAAGATATTGTATTGTTTATTACTTCTAAAAAGAAAGTTCCACCTGACCACAATAATGTCACATTCAACCTACAAATTTGTAGAACACAATAAAAGTTCAATTGAACATACAAACTCAGTTGAACTAGTGAAATGGGCGATATAAAGAATTCACTTCTTATTGTTCAGATATTATGCATGGTATGCATATCCCAGTTCAATTTATAATGTACGTATTTGTCAGCATCCCCTGTTTGCTTCTTGTGAATATATAGTTTTCTTTTGTATGTAGAGTACTCTTCTCTTCCTTGTCCATAATGACTGTCCTAGATCTCTTGCTTTCAAACTTCATATATATAGTTGTGATTACGCATACTTCTTCGTTTTACCACCTTTATTTCAGTATTTTATCTTTCCGCTTAACCTTGTATTACAAACAATAAGTACAACTCCTTTTTACTGTCAACCTACCTTTTCTATCCTACGTTTTACATTCTATCTTTAATTAATTAAGGTGATGATGTTTAACTAAAGTGTGCACATTCAACTTTTACCATTGCTTTTATCGTCATATTTTCTGTACAAAAGTGTTTAACTTACACACGAAAGCTTTGTAAATCTTTTCACTTCTCTTCCTCATCGCGCTCACTCACTTTTGTTGGTGTTCCTTCTTATCTTCTCATTGGCACGATAATTATTATACGTTAACGTTGAGGATCTTCTGTTCATCATTATATTTCTCTTAATGAGAGTAGCTTGTACTGATGATACTAATAACTATCATAGCCTGTGTAAGGGTGATCCTGTTATTGTCATTCTGTAATAAATAGTATAGTTACCTATTCTTCCTTGTTTTTGGTTAGTTATTTATGTTTGTGTGTATGAGAACTTCTTCCCTGTGACCTTAATTTTATTTCTACATCTTACTCTTTCTCCTTCCTGAAGTGATCATTTTTTGTTCTGGAGAAAAAAAAATAAGCGCTAATGTTGCTTGTGCTTGAAATGTAACCATGCTGATAACTAGTCAGCTGATAGTTGCTGTTATCATGTGTTCATATAAATGTTATTGTTACATTATATATATATATATATATATATATATATATATATATATATATATAAAGTCCTCAGAAAAGTGGAAGTAAATATTCATGAAACCCTAATATCTAATGTTATGTTCTTGTTGTGATATTCCATATTCTAATGATGTTTCTTGTGTTCCTCGTCTGTGTGTGCATATTTCGATGCTTCGTTATGTGTACTTGGCACCATTTATAAAAGTATGCCACACGTGTATGCTCTATACGTTTGAACTCATTGGTATTCATGCAGATAAACGTTGTGGTAAATTCACATGAGTGGGATTTCTTAAACTCAGCCAGACTGTGAAGTTTTCAAAGCAAACGTGTGGTATAAGTATCCAACTGCGGGACGACCATGAACAAGAATCACGTTGAGTGCCATTTGAACTGTATCTTTTTATTTTACATACGAGACTCAGTTTCCGACCCTGTTCCCATAAAGATTTTGATTTTCACGTAGCATCAAAATCTTATGCACAATATGTGTGGCTCATAGCGTAACTTTCTGACTAATCCTGACAAAGTGAATGGTAATAATAATAGCCTGCCATGTAAACCTTAATGTCATTAGCAAGTTTCGAAACCAAGACGAAATGACTGATACATGAGTTCATGCAGCGTGTTCTTTTGATGATTTTCAACGCGAAACGATTTGCAGAATTTCATATTAGATTTGTTTATTTGATTTATAACACACAGTAATCTAGTATTACTTACTTGATGACGTTTCGAGCATAAATTATTGCTCATAATATCAATATTATATGAAGTTGAACATTGTTATCCGATATCTCAAGGATCTGTCTCTTTTTACTGGAGAACTTTAACTTGAATTGTCGTACATCTAGCCTTTTGATAATTGTTCAGTGGCATCATGAATCGAATATGTAGATAGGACCTTCAACTCTTTCACCTGTTGAGAAAGCTGTATGTAACCTGAAATCAGGAAAACTATGAGTCCGGAAAGGCTTGCGCCTAAGGTATATAAATATGATGACCGGAAATTACTTTTCAAACCGACGGAGGTGTCAAGAGGTACATAGAAACTGGATATTATCTCCTCTGACTGATCTCATTTGCTGACTGTCTTCGAGAAAGATCTTTTCGTAAAAAGTGCAGGCGTATTAACTAGATGGACAGGATCCCAAATTTTGCGTGAAGCTCGAAAGCAGTAGACTCGAGAAAACGAGTCAGGTTTCAGTTACAGTCGTAGATGTGTCGTTTATATCATTACATCCCGGTTCATCCTATCTGATCTTGAAACACAGGCAAACTTACTGGTGCTGAGTACCAGCTAAATATCTTGACCTGAATGGGGATATTCATTGAAAGGATTGTCTTATAAGTGCTGAGGAATCAGAGTCACAAGCAGTTTTTCGCTCTCTCCCATAATATAGCTTAGTAACACGAACATTAAACATAGAGGACATGAGGTCCTGTGTTTGACCACCGTTGTCTTCTTAGCACCATCTGTTTGCGGTGGGACCACGACGTTAGTAATGTAGATCTTAGGCTTTGAGTCGTAGCTAAGGGAGGTAAGTTAGTTGATGAGTTCTTAACCCTTTATTGGTTGGGCCATTCGTAACGCATGCCGAACCAGAGTTTCTTTCTTTTCGCTATGTTAGCTGAAATAGGTTAAGACTGAAAGACGGAATCGTATTGGAAATGTAGACTTTGGGGTCAGGTTCTTTGCGATATCCGAAATCTTTGGGAGACTAAGGGATATTGTTTACAATCGATGTTAGTGGCGCAAATACATCCACATTATTTTCTTCCTAATCGTCACATTGTTACTCGTTTTATGCTTTACCTACCCTTCTTCTTTATAACTTGTAACTGTGTTATTTCTATTTTCATGTCTTTCATCTTGATTCTTTGTGTCTTGGTGTGAGTTTTTGTTACATAGACTGTTACTCAGTAGTGTTGTCACTGAATGGATTTAGTTTGACTAGATGAGTATGTTAGCAATATGCAGTCTCCTGCGCAACTGTTTGAAAATAAATCATACAAGTTTTTTGACCTAAATGTAAAATGTTGCGATAATCTTCCACTTAACATGAAAAGTGGTCTAATTGAATGCATTAATTACTGATATACCCTCTGCATTTGCACTAGTGATCACTTTGTGTTTCACTTTTTATAAGAACGCTATCATTCACTGTCGTGAAGATGAATTCTACTGACGAGATGTGAATAGATTGAAGCAACCCTACTGTTTAATTTTAGTTAGTTTCTAGATCATTTGTCGTTGCCACCTCTTTCAGTAATCGATTGTTTTTTTTCTAAAGCATACATTTATTGAATAAATTCTAATTTTCAAATGTGTACATGATACCGTTAAGGAACAAAACGCAAATGTCAGGTTTGAATAGTTTCACTTGAACGGATTATGTGGTATTAAGCTCGATATTTATGTCTTTAGTTACGAAACGAATTTATCAGTGAAATACAAGGATTGTTTTGTGTTGGTTGTTGTATTCTTTATAATAATAAAAAGAAGCTCAGTGGAACAACAAATAATATTTGTTGAGAAAGTTCCGCTGATAATGGGAAAAGTACTAAGTCTTACAGTCGAGAATCCATTTGAAAGCAATTTTTTGTTCTGCACTTCGTCCCACACTGTTCTTATCCTTTTTGCTTTCATCCAATATTGTGTATATTTTTTATCTGAATCCTCACTAGTCGAGGTTGCTATATGAACTACTTGTATGCATTCTTATAAGTAGCTGTCACCACAATAGGGCAGAGTACTGTTGGTCTTACATGAAAACCGAATTTCGGACTGTGATCTTTAGGATAAATTACTGGACATCATGATTCAGTGCTTTCCTAGTCGAATGACTGTAAATAGTCTGACGAAAACAGTCAATGATTTGTATACTATTTTTTGTTGACAGTGTTATTCGCGTTTGAGATTCGTGTTTACAAGTGGTTTGTAACAGGTGACTGAGGCTCAATTTGGTATCATACTTCCAAATATCAAAGAGAATACATACTCTGTCAAACCCGATAATATAAGGTTGATACGGGGGTGTTAACGGGTATGAGAACTATAGTTTGTACGGTTATTGTTAAGACCACATAACTTCGCTTCCTTTTTATTGTCTAGTACATTTGGACCTTCAGGATATCTGAATTGGGAATCAGGAAGTTAGATAATACTATTCGGAAGCTACTGCACACGGTGTTGCTTAGTTAAAATACGCTTTTTCAATGAAATATACAGTTCGATCTCTTACAGATTTCAAGAAACAACCTAGTACACTAGTTGAGGTATTGAAAAATGAGAATAACATAACACTGTTTCATGTGTTGAGAAACAATCTTGTTGCATCTGTTAGTATTAAACTAATCCACAAAAATAGAACAAGTGTGTTGCGATGAAATGAAAAGAACTTGTTTTGCATTTCTCACTACTCATTATTATCAAGAATTTAAGTGATGAAAAGGATAAGAACAAACTTTTTTCAGTTAACTGGCCCATTTACGCCATAAAAAATTACTAAATCTAAGGATGAACAGCTTTTTAATTATATGAATGCCATTTCAAACGAAGAAAGTGATGGTCCTTAATAAAAATAGAATTTTCGAAGGAGTTAGGAAATTTCTTGACGCATCATTATATTCAAATAGAGGATTCTTTTATTCGATTTTTAATTGTTTTAGGGGGCTTACAATTGTCTGTTTTTTTGGCTTTCATTGATCAGTGGCATGAAATTTACTATATATTAGGGATATGCTAATGAGTTAGAACGTTCAGCTTGAAAATTATCAACGAATCGATGCTTTTTAGCAAAGTCGTTACCATTGTGGGGTTTTTGAAAAATTCTAAGAGGAATTCCTTTCCTAACGTTAATTCGAAGTGAACAAGTGTAGACTAGCTGGATACACTAGTATCACTTAATAATAAAAGTGAGTTTGGTGCGAAATTCCATTTCCCTCGTTATCTACCGAAGTTTTAAGATGAGCTTTAGAGTTTATCCTTGGGAGTACTGCTCCACTCACATCTTTCCAAGAAAAATATAACAACATATGTATGTTCTGACGTTAACGGGTATTTTATTTTCAAGTTAGTATTCATCACGAACTGACATCAGTTGGAGAACCATTGAAAACCTGGGAACACCGGACAACTGTTTCGTCCTAGTACTGGGACTCCTCAGCATTTCTGCACCCGTAACCTGGATGGAGATCGAACTCAGGGACCTTCAGGTTTCGCGGCAAATGCGTTAGCCGTTTAGCCATCTGTCAGAACTTAATGGTCCACAGTTTCCTGCTTCTATGGCTTCGTGAAACAGTGTGACTATCATCATCCGTTTCACTTCCGACTGTATATCCTAATGTGATCTATCACTTTATTTATCGGTATGATTTATTGCCCATATGTCCCAGGCTGTTGAAGTGCGGTGTTCTTAATAGTTGCAGTTTTGTGTCATTGACTTCTAGCTTAAAAAAGATGGTGTACTTGCAGCTGAACTGGACAAACTTTCAGTGGTAATGGTTACAATGTCTGATTCTGTTGTTGCACCTTCTTTCAAAATTAATCAAACGATGAGGCATTTCTTGTGAAATTATTTTATTGATCTAGATTTGCTTTTCTCCGTAGTCTTATCGACACTTTGTTGTTCACCTGGGTTAACTCTAACTCTTGATATCTTTATATCTGTGACTGGTGTTTATGTGTGGAACATAATCACCGTGATGGTGTATTCATAATCTTAAAGTTGTTTGAAACCTTTCAGTTGAAGAATCATTATCAGTACACTGACTATATGGAACAGAGATCAGTGGTTTTTACTCGTATGATTGTCGATTATACATTGTTTTTAGTTTTACTTGCAGTATTTAATCATTTATTTTTATGTTTACAGATGTATTTCCTAGTTATTACTTCCTTCTCCTTTCTCTTCCTGTTATTACTTTTTGAGATTTAATAATATGAGGACAGGAACAAATAGATCGGTTAGTTCCGCTTATGAGAAGAAACTTTTTCTAAAGCTTCAGTTTTAGAGATTTTGGCAGCTATGTTTTCGTAGATTAGTTGGTGGAATACCGGGTTGGAAACCCTGAGTACTATAGTTTAATTTGGGACTAATTAACTTGATTTTGGTGATGTATTTATATTTTTGATTTCGTGTTATAGCTTTGCCGTGTAGGACATTTTTATTGTCAGTCTCAGTTTATTTGTTTACCTAATATTCATGAGTCATCATTACTTTTCTGATACCTTGGATTCATACCCTTTTAAAGCTTGGTTACTGCTTCTGTGAATCTGTTAGTCTCTTTGTTCATTAAATACCTGAACTCTTTTATATGAATGTGTTACGTAGTTCTTAAATCCAAAACGTTAGTCAAGAGTAAAGTATCTACCACGGAGAGTTTTATTAACAACTTGGCTTGTTTTTCATGTTAAAGTTTGGTACATAAAGGTGGGTCTTGATGAAAATTCATTGCAGAGTATTCATTCACTCAAATTTTCTTGTTTTATTTTCTGTTGCCGTATCACATATTCGAAGCTGACTCCGCCTTTCACGACTTGTTAGTTATTCTGTCGTCAGCATTAATGTGCTGAGTAGTTTCATTGTAGAAGATGCATTATTTCAGTAGTCACTCAATATCAGTACACAAAATGGTTCACAAGTATGTATTTTTGTTTTGAAATGTTCTTATTTTCATCCCAGTTTTCTCATCTTTTTCAAGTTTAATCATTTGACATGTTGACAGTGTTTTTCGTGGATATTTGTTGACAGTTATCTTTACCTTTCAGTTTTGACCATCCTTATGAAATTCATACTTGGAAACTTGTCGCCGCAGATAGTGGTAGCACGTTCATCTAATCTATCGTGCTTCTTACCTACTATTAATCGTGTTTCACTGTATGTCCAATCAAATGCACAGTATTCTGCTTCAAATCGTCGACCAATGGATTATCATGAGATTGAAAGACTTAGCAATCGATTGCCAGCTATGATGATCACAGCAATAAAATGGTGGTATAAAATACGACCGTTAAAAGTGGAAATAGCAGATCTTCGTCGTCGACTTTTACGAAATAAAGAGGGATTTGAGGTAAGTTCATAATTTGAACCATCTTAACTTTTGATTCATTAGAAACGTTATTATTATTAGTGTTATTGCTTGTATTACGCCGTCGTTGATTGGACCGAGTTGATCAGTCTCTGTTGGCATATGGGCTCCTATGCGGTTGCCTCGATATTGCCTGTCTTTTAACTATGTTTAGTAATGATGGTCAGTGGCTAGCAGTGGAATCCAGGATGCGCATTTCGTCCTATTTGGAACTCGTCAGCTGGATGTACCTGCTTCCCAGTGAGTGATGTTGTTTCCACTGGGACTCGGACTCGGGAGCGATCGCTTCAAACGCCAGCGCGTTATCCGCTACACCACCGAGCCACGATAGCCACTTTTTGTGCGACGGGTATAGGTTTAGTGTTATTGCTTGTATTACACCGTCGTTGATTGGACCGAATTGATCGGTCTCTGTTGACATATGGGCTCCTATGCGCATCCTGGATTCCACTGCTAGCCACTGCCCATTATTATTATTATTGTTTCTTAAAATCAACAGGCTCTCTAATCAGTACTCTCGATCTGTGAACAGTCTTCTGGCATTTTACTTTAACCTTACTTTTTCTCTTGGCTGTCTATTATTACTGAATGAGCTAGTATAGTAACGCGATGGTGAACAATTAGTAAACTTTTCTAGAGTTGTTAGTATCTCATTAGTTTATTTCGAATCGTTGTATCGATAGCCTCGTTGAATTTAACAGATTCATGTTTTGTAATAATAGTCAGTCGCTTGGTGATTGTCTTATTATTGTGACTTTATTTGTCATTGTATGTCTTTGATGATTTCTGGCTAACCACACTCTAGATTGGATGGTGAGACTTGCTATTTTTAGCCAGTGGATAAACTGCTTATGGTTGAATTATGATTGTTCTATGGTTCAACCTGGAGAAAATCAAAAGACCGGAGTATTGAAATAAACGGATCAGTGTGAAACCTGGTACAGAAGTACATTCACATTCACAAAATAACACACAGAAAAAACAAACCAGTGTAGAATGATTTTAATATAACCTTCGAACAATATATATAGATATAGATAGAAATGCAAACGTCGAGGATATTAAGGTTAAACGATATGCTCGATTTCAGAACACTGCTGTCTAAGATCAGACCAGAGAGCAACTCAGTGAAAACATCTTTCAAGTCACTCAAAACAGTGCCGATAAACCAGAAATCAAAACATTAATGAGGGGCTAAGTATAGTTAAGATACATTCTTAAATAAAATTAAAGTTGAGAACAACAAAATAGTAGATTGCATGTGTGAATGCAGTGAAATCGATGTAATTGACAAAATTGATTTATGATTTTTAAAATTGTTGATGTAGCAGATTAGGTTAGTGTCGAGAAGGTGAGTAAGCTCTTTGAACCCCTAATTGGCATTTTTCATGATATGCGTGTAAACTTGAATGTCTTTCGGATACCCAGAATAATGTAGGTGATTTTCTTGGAGCAACACTCTTTGAACTGAACATGTAATGCGAACTATAATTGTTCCTGATAGAATTGAATAGGTTGAGCGCTGAGTAAATGGATTATGAAGGAAATTTATTTGTAAAATCCCAATGAGGTAAAAAAATAAATTTCTGACGTTTCGCAACTTTATCGAATTCCCTTTTTCTGAAGCTGTTACTATTCCGTGATGATTACTACCTTAGAAATAAATTCCTCAAACAACATTTCTGTATAGTGCTCATTAGTGACATACTTCCAGATAGATATCCAGAAGTTCTAGAAAAAAGTTGTGACCTGTGTGTGGAGAATTAATATAGGAGTACAACTTGGGCACTGTGGCAAATCGTAATTCCATTTTAGTCTGTTTTGTAGAAATGTCACAGTCAAACAGTATTATTTACCGGACGACGTTTCGGACATAATTTATTATCCACATTCATATCAGGTAAGTCTACAACTTTGAGACATGGTCCACATAACTCTAATCTTCTGCCCTTTTTTATGATGAGGGTAGTAATATCTTCCATATATCTGGGACATGTGCAGAATTATTTCGATTGCATGTATCTGGTGTTATTTTGATAAACAAAGATTCGGTGTATCCATCTCCCCTCCATCCAACTAAGTTTTTAAATCTGTCAACTTATCCACCCTATTGTATGATCGTATGTAACTGCATACATAGATATAGCCGAGCTTTTGTCTAAATTTCTTTTCTTATTAGGATCTACTAATCTTGATTTAACTAAGTTTTTGTGCCGTCTTACTCTAATTGACCCTGGTCGACTACTTTGACCCATGTTTTAAACCCAGCAATCATAGCTGTGCACGCAGTTACACAATCATACATTAGGGTGACAGTATTAAAAACTAACTTAGTTGGATGGAGGGGAGATGGATACACCGAATCTTTGTTTATCAAAATAACACCAGATACATGCAATCGAAATAATTCTGCACATGTCCCAGATATATGGAAGATATTACTACCCTCATCACAAAAAAGGGCAGAAGATTAGAGTTATGTGGACCATGTCTCAAAGTTGTAGACTTACCTGATATGAATGTGGATAATAAATTATGTCCGAAACGTCGTCCGGTAAATGATACTGTTTGACTGTGTGACATTTCTACAAAACAGACTAAATTAGAGTCGGGTACAAAATTTTGCGCCATGTTTTAATGTCAAAAATCTGCAAACGGCTATCCAACAATACACCCATTTGTCTTTTGGGGTTCCAAATTGTTCTTAGTTTCCTTAAAAAAAAAACCAACTGACATAAAGTTTGATTTTGAAGGTTTGTGGGAATTTATTGATTTCAAAATGGTATTCATCTCTGACTGACTCAGCTAATACACTATTGGGATGGTGGTATACAATTTTATAAGATTTACAATGATTTATTGAACGTTATTCACAGTTTGGAATGTATATAAGAGCTTTGCGGTAAATTTACTGGGTTGCTTGTATTTTCTACTTTGTAGACGTGGTATTTTGTTCCAGGTGACTTTTTCACTTCAGTGGCTGATTGAATACGACAACAAACATCACAAGTAAACTGTTTGCACTTTAATGAATTTTTAAAATGCGAGAAAATCTGTTTTACTGAAGTCATTGTTTCTGTGACTTAAATTTAACTTGGTCTGATGAATTACAACATTCAAAAGATTTTAGTAAAACTGTTTGTCCTTTCCACAACCTAGTTGTTTCGGTCACTGAACTCGAAATTCATCAAAAGAACAACTGAACTATACCTAATATAAACGTGAGAAGCAAAACCACTCAGCATTCCACAGCGGCAGATGAGAATTAGGGGATATTTATTACTTTACAATAATTATAAATGAAGAAAATATTTCTCAAAATACTCCCTTTTTTCAAAAGCTGTTTTAAAGACACTGATTTAGAATAACAACCATTTCTAGAAAGTAAAACCATTCCTCTTTCAAAGATTTCCATGACCTACAATTGAAATTTTGTGAAAATGAAGACTTCAAACTGAAAACTGAAACACACCTGAGCAACTCACATAGAGTAAGCTAAACAAAATATCTCGAAACACAAGAGTTAAAAAATGTTTGTTGGTAGAATAAATGTATTAATTTATATTTGGAAATCCATCCATCCATTCAGATCAACCTAGGACCAGGTGTTATTGCTTAACGGTCCGAGTTGCCATACCTCATATCAGTACATCAAGTAAAAAGGTAGTGAGGCTCAAGTTAAAGATAAGAGAATCCAGTCAGAAGAAATATAAAGTAAGAAAAGAGAGAAACGAAGAATGAGAAAGTGGTGAGATTCGGTATAGCGTCGTTAAGATGAGGATAATATGTATACATCTGCGCCACTGACATCGGTTCTGAGCCATATCACCTAGAGTCTCCAACCACTGGTTCCTCTTATCCTGCGGACCCCATCCACTTAGTCTGCATCGCCCCACATAGCTCAAACCAACAGTCAGAGACTTCATACATTGGTGCCATGTTTTAGTCTGGCCACCTCGGGTCTTTGTCCAGCCTGGACCTACTTCAGCCAACATTGTGTGACGAAGAAATCGGTGACTAGGCATAAGTAACACGTATCTCAGCCATCTCAACCTTGTCAGCCGACTTACCTCTTCTCCCTAAAACTCTACTCCTGACTTCTGCGTTACTCATGTGGTGGTACCACGGAATACGGCCTATACTACGAAGGCAACGGTGGTCAAACACTTGAAGCCTTCTCACGTCTTCCACCTTCAATGGCCATGTTTCACAGCCATACAGTAGGACATAGTGGAGTGCTGTGCAGTACACCTGACCCTTAATAGGCAATCGGGAATCACGGCGCCGCCACAGGTGGGGTAAGTCGGCGAAAGCCAATCTAGCCTTTTGTGTCCGCGCAGAGATCTCACTGGTCACTGAGCCATCAAGGCTGATCCTACTTCCCAGGTAAGTGAAGTGGTCAACACACTCAACCACTTCACTCTCTAGTATCAGCCGCGGCACTATTGAAGACCAATCCTGGAGCAGCAAATTGCATTTGGGTGGTGAGAAACGCATCCCAGGCATTCTCAAATTGCTACTCAAAGTGTTCAGAAGACTCTGCATCTTGTCAGCGTCTTAACTTAACAGGACTATGTCATCTGCATATTCTGGGTGTAACAAAAATTCTGCACCGATTAGGTCAACGTCTGTGTAATCAGGCGACGAGAGGGAGACCTGGGTAAGAATATGTATGATAAAATTGAATAAGAATGGAGAGTGAGCACCCTTGATGGACACCGCTCGATGAGCATAGCTCCCTGAACATCTCACCGTAGACTCTAACACACCCACAAGTGTTTGAGTAGAGAGCTTTCAATAAAGTGATGTACCTACTCGCCACACCTTTCAGTGAGAGACATTGCCATAAGACTTATCGATCAACGGAGTTGAATGCCGCCTTCAGGTCGAGAAATACAGTCAGTGTTGGGCGCCGGTAAGCATGTCTGTGTTTCGGAGCCTGGCGCAGTGTATATACTTGGTCGATACACCCGCGGCCAGGT